GCGCCCAGCACATTCTTGAGTAATATTTTTAAATTATTATATTCTAAAGAACTCCTGCATTATATTTTCATAGGTCTTGGGTTGGAATTCAGCCATGTAGAAAATGAAGAGTGGTTTAAAATTGCACTTTCGTTACTTAAATCAGTTTTAAGTGTATAATTTTATTAAGTTTAAAAGGATATTTATTGAAAATTATGATCATGAAGTACTTTATTGTGTAGATGCCTTTAAAGTCAGATGAAAGTTTTGTTTTTTCTCATTCTAGAAATTTTCGCTAATTTACATTAATTTGAATCACTGCTTACTCTAACATGTTGCTTGTTGTATTACTTTTAAAAATTGAATTGTGCATATTATTCGAGTTTCTTCTGAGCAGGCAGTTGACCCCAAATAGGTCAGGACATCTAAATTCTTGTCACTTGTGGCAATTTAGATTTATTATTTTTTTCTGTCTTTAGGTATTTCATTGTGTAGTAAAGCAAGTATTCACAATTAAATAATTACATTGTTACTTGCTGAGTGTATTTGTTAGCATTTTCATGGCTGGTGTTCTTATTTAAAATTTTTAAACATCTGTGGGATTGTGAAGATATAGGAATAAGACTTAAAAAACATGAAATTGGGTTTTGATGATGCTTGAGCGTTTTGTACCTACTTTGCTTTTCACTAAATCGTTTATTACATAATAATTGTTGGATTATTAAGATAACTTGTTTTTCAGATACCTAACTTTATGTTTTGTTTGTTTGTATAGGAAATGTTTTTCTAAAACATGGTTCAGAACTGCGAATTATTCCTAGAGATCGTGTTGGACGTTGTTAATATCTGCTACTTGGAGCATATGATTTCCTTTCATAATAAATATTGGTATTTTTTTGTTGTTGTAAAATTGAAATCAGGCATTGAACATACTGTGAAAATACCAACAGTCAATGGAATAATGTCTGTCCTTGTTTTTGTCCGTCCTTGTTCACACTCTTCATGTGAAGAGACAATTGTTACGAATTGGGTACTACCACCACAGAAGATCATACAGTCTTTGATTGCTACCTCACAGCACAAACAGGTAGTTCATTTGGGTTAAATGGATTAGCCAACTGTGTTTTATAACTGGAGGATGCTTCAGAACATTCAGAAAATTAAAATTGCCCGAATCTTACATGTTTGTCTGAGTTAAAAATATAAAAGGATTATGGATCGTGGGTGGTAGTTTGGCTTGATAGCATCTGATTTGCAGACTCATAGATTGATTCTTAATTAAATATCTAGTTTATGACAAAAGCAGTAGACACATCAGTGAATAGTTAGCTGTCTTTTTATCATTTAGGTTTAAGTTTCAAACCTCATGTGTCAGGTAAATTTCAGTTTAATATCAAAGAAACAAAAATTGAATTTTTTAATCTAACCTTTATGTGTATAAATTGATGTCGCATAGCAAATTTTAACAGTGCACTTGCAGAATTCAACACTTATAAGGTGGGAATTGACAATACACTAGAAGGACCTTTTGCTGAGCTATACATTCCTTTATCAGTCTCTTTTAAAACAGGCATCTTTAAGAAATCACTTTTTTTAAGGATAATATTTCTAAGAGTATTGTTACAAAGATCTGAAGATCAAAGCTCAAGGAAATGTTGATGTGTTAATACTTATTGAAGACCCAACTTTAATGAAGGGCTAAGATTAGTCACCTAAGTGAATAAGAAGCCAGGAAAGGCAAGATGGGGAAGCCCAGATGACCAGATTTCTGGTAAGGAGGAAAGCAACAAAGAACAACAGTGAAAGGGACCAACCAGAAAGCTATAGCAAAGTGTCACAGAAAAAGCCAGCTGGATAGACAGAACTGCAGAGAGTATGTTGGAGAAAAATGAAGAGAAAACAAAATACTTGACATAGTCTTAAGTAGCAGAAGGCAATTAGAGAAAGGAAAATATTGGCCTTGTCAACATACAGATTTCAAAATACCCCTGATGAGAATCCAAAGAATGACATGCATAGGAAAGATTTTATTTGCCCTTCCAGAGGAAATCAGTATCTATGCAAATCTTGAAGGATGAAGGCTCACAATGATTCAGAATCAACATTTGAACTGCTGTGTTTTAAATGGTGAGCTCTGTGGAGGCACCAGGGATTGTATCTGTCTGGTTCTTTCTAGAGCTGTAAATGTAAATACTTGCTGAATGAATAAAGTCTCTCTAAGACCAATTTTTATCTTAGCACCTTTCAGTATCTTCCCTATCATAGGTCCTAGGTTCATTGAGAAAAAAAAAAAAATTCACAAGAAAATTCAACAAAACCAGCATCTGAGGGGTGCCATTGTTCATGAAATTATCAGATATTGTTTATAAGTTCAAAAAATAAATAGCAAGGTTCTGAATTACAAAGGAAAAAAAAAGTCTTTGCTGAGGTTAAAAAAAAAAGTATACTGCTGATGTTTGAGAAAGTTTTTATTTTGATAAAAAACATCTGATGTTCAAAGGCCCGTTCCTTATGAAATTAAGCCTTGGTTAAACAGAAATTTATGAATACCCATTCCCTGAATTTTTGGCTTAATTTAGATTTTCCTGCATTCTGTTTCTAGCACAAAAATCTGTCTGCTTTATTGCATAAATAAGTTTGTGGTGTCCTGTGCTATAAAAGTGAATTATTTAATATTTTTGTTCTTCGATTTTGAAAATTATATTGTAGTGAGCTCCTAAAAACATTTTATTAAACAACTGAACATTTTCTTATTAAATGTGATCTCTAATTTCTGTGTACAGAATGGTTTGAAGTATTATATTTAGTTTAAATGCATTATTGGTCCATAATTAACATCTTATGAAAATACATTTTGTTATACTATAAACCACATTGCCAATTATTATTAGAGTTCGTAATCAGTACATCCATTCAGCCAGTGTATAACAAATGTGGTAAAGAAAAAAAAGGCAAAGATGATTAATGGCCATAGGTCATAGAAATTAGTGTATGTAGTCATCTGCTGCATAACGACATTTCAATCAACAATAGTCTACATATACAGCGGTGGTCCTGTAATATAATGCCACATCTTTACTGTGCCTTGTCTATGTTTAGATACACAAGCACTTTCCATTGTCTTACAGTTGCCTATAGTATTCAGTACAGTACATGCTGTCCAAGTTTGTAGCCTAGGAGCAATATATTATACCATCTAGGTTTGTGTAAGTACACTCTGTGATGTTCACACGACAACAAAATTGCCTAACAACTGATTTCTCAGAAAGTATTCCTGTCATTAAATGATACATAATTGTATTTTCAAATGCCAGTCCTTTTTTACAGAAGAAAATAAAATAAGTTGAGAAAAAGAGGGGTTATATTAATCGCCTAGGCTGATAGGTCCCAAACCTGGGTGATTATCAGAGTCACCTAGAAAATTGAAAATACAAATTTCCAAAAACCACTCCTCAAATCCTGACTCATTAAGTCTGGAATGGTATGTAAGAACCTCTGTAAAAAGCAGTCCTTGTGATACCTGCCCTGCAGGTGATTTGAAATTAACAAGAAGGCCAACCTTTTCACTTTGTAAAAGAATCGAATAAGGTCTAAGAGGTCAAAATAACTAGAAAATGTTCTAGAATCTTGGACAGTGTACTTTCCACTGCTTGGTATTCTAGTAGCTTGACTGAGTGCAAAGATGCTAGCTAAAAGTTTC